CGGCATTTATAATAAGTTTCAGCAGTTTCGCCTTTCTCTAAAGTTTTGCCAGTTTTTTAATATAACTTTAATATAGTTTCGGCAGAATTTCGCTTTTCGGCAAAACGCTATCTTGCCTAAACCCTAGGTTTCGGCAAGCAACCTTAACACCCATATACCTAAATCTGGTTTTTCCAAATTTATAGGAGTTCAGTAATCTAAAAAAAACAAAAAAAAAGAAACGTTAGTATGTTTCTTCAACAATTACTCCTACCAATGTCCCCATATACTATACAGGGCTCTTTCAAGTTCCTAGGAGTCCAGTAACTTAAAAAAACAAATAAAAATGAAACGTTAATACGTTTCATTAATAAAATATAAAAAGAAATCTTTTTGAAGTTTCACCTTTAAAATGGGAGCGCTTTGACTTCCTGATCCTAAAAAAAAAATATGAAATGTTAGTAACATTTCATTGAAATAAATCAAAAAAAAAATAAAAATAAAAAAAATTGAAGTTACCTTTGAATTAGGTCCAGGATCACACCTTCAGTATTTTGGACCTACAAAAAATAAGAATGAACGTTAGCTAACATTCGTTAAATAAATTAATAAAAAAAAAACTTTTAAAGAAATATCTTTGAAATGAAGTCTGGCAGCGTCCTGACCTACAAAAAATAAAAGAAAACGAACGTTAGTATAACATCCGTTAAAAGATAAAGAAAAAAAATCATTTCAAAATTTTACTTTCGAAATGAAATTTGGCGACATCTTGGATCAACAAAAATCAAAATGAATATTAGTTAATGTTCATTAAATTAAAATAAAAAAATTTAAAGTTTGAAGCTAATATAATCTTTTCCATTAAAAGAAATCTTTAACTTATTTATATTCCATCTACAGTATATTTCTTTAGAAAATATTAGCATTAATTTATAATAATCTACAATTAAAAAATCATCATGAATAATAAATCCTGAGGCTAAGATAATTGGCAAATTGCAAATAATACCAATAGACTCAATTAAGATTGCCTGTCTAAACCTCTCCAAAATTCTACTATAGTTTTATTATAGTTTTGGCAAAGTTTCAGCAGCTTCAGTATTTATAATAGGTTTTGTCAGGTTTCGCTTTTTTCCAGAATTTCACCAACTTTTTAATAAGACTTTTATATAGTTTCAGCAAAGTTTCACCATTTCGGCATTTTGCCAACTTACCAAAACCTTCTAGTTTTTCCAGCAACCTTAGATTCAATAGAAACAGTAATAATATCACTAAAGTCATATTTTTTAGATTTATAAATTTTAGCTTTAATGCGATCAACAATATTTTTTGTTATAATAATATATATTATAATTTTTTAAAGACTACAGTCTTAAAAAAACTAATAGTTTTATTATTATTTACAAAAACCATTTAGGATTAAAAGAGTATAATGTGCTAAAACTGTCAAAACTATCTATACCAAAATATAATGTTTCTCTTGATATGTAAGGCCACACAAATTCAAATTTTCAGTTCACTTCACCCAGCTGGGTCACTTTTTCAAATTTCAATAAAAAAAAAGTTTGTATATAAAAAATTTATCACGTGATTAGGACATAATTTTATTGGTTGGTAAGTTTATCATGTAGCTGAGAACTTCTATAAATTCCTCCCTTTTAAAAGTCAACCAATCAAATGTCACAATTTTATATATAAACTTTTTTTATCATAATTTTTTTGGTCTAGTCTTTTTGATCTTAAGACTAAAAAGACCATAAGTTTCAAGACTAAGTCACCATCTTTAATGACATAAATTTATTCTATATGCAAAAAGAAACATTAGTATTTAAAAAATCACTAGTTAATTGATAGTGAATACTAGTCAAATGATGGCATATCAAGTCATAAGCTATCATGGCATATCGGTCAAATATAATAAATCTGATATGCATGATAGCTTGTATTAAAAATCATATACATATCAGTAACCTGATATGACAATAATTTTTACCAACAATTTACTGATATTTTATTAAAATATATCAGTAAATATCAGTAAAATATAAGAAATACCGATATTTAAATAATTGGTAAATTCTATATTATATAAACTTGTGTAATGTTGATCATTTTTTATAGGTTCTAGACTCCAGCAAGTTAAAAAAAAATTTTTTTTTTCACAAGTTCTGGACGCCATTTCAAACCAGTAAGTTAAAAAAAAAATTGTTCTAATAAAAGGCATATAGATATATATGTATTAACCTTCTATTTTATTTTTTTTTGTAGCTTCTGGACTTCATTGGACACCATTTCAGACCAATGAGTAAAAAAAAAATTGTTTTAAATAGAAGGTGTACTGTATATTCTAACCTTCTATTTTTTTTTTATAGCTTCTGGACTTTCTTAAACGCCATTTCAGACCGGTAAGTAAAAAAAAAATATAGTTTTAAATAAAAGACGTATAGATATATATTAACCTTCTATTTTATTTTTTTTTGTAGCTTTCAGGCTTTCTTGTATGCCATTTTAGATTGGTGAGTAAGGTTGCTTGTCTAAACCTCTTCAAAATCCTATAATTAGTTTTATCAAAATTTTACTATAGATTTATTATAGTTTTGGCAGAGTTTTGGCAGTTTCGGCATTTATAATAAGTTTCAGCAGTTTTGCCTTTCTCCAAAGTTTCGCCAGTTTTTTAATATAACTTTAATATAGTTTCGGCAGAATTTCACTTTTTGGCGAAATGCCATCTTGTCTAAATCC